ATTTTTACCTTGGTTCATGTCATTTTTCGTACCAAAGTTCGATGTCGCAAAGAATGATGACGCAGGTTTTTATTTCACCTCGAGGACAGAATAGGCAAGAATACTATGCACGAAAAAAATGTACCGATATATTAAATTACAAATATTTGAATTTTTGATCGCGGTTACAATCTTGTCCGTTTGTTATTTGAATTAGCCAATCATGTGGCTTGAAATTACAGGGTGTCCCAGAGCCTACGACAGGCCGCTAGAGGCCGACAGAGTAGGGTCTGGGTACGAGAATGTGCAAAGTCTCTATTCAACGCGCAGCAATCGATCTAGAGGCGCGCGGTAGCTGCACTTTATTTTGCATGACGTAATCAAAATTTATCAAGAATGTTCTCAAAATAATTCATAGGAATTTGCTCCGTAAAACAATATTTTGCTATAGAAATAAATAATATATATAACAGCACCATAACCTTAGATTTCAATCAATTTATAGGTTGAGTTGATTGATAGATTTTCTGACTAGACATAAAGCGAGATCGGTTCTTGTTAAGTTATACGACGCGTAAAGCGGGAGCTGAAAAACTGCAATGAAAATAGCAAGAAGCTAAACAAATAGCAAAAAGGTTTAATTAAATGAAAAACTTGATACACAAAGAGGAATCTTATTTGCAGCTGAGGAACGGACAAAGAAGTACAAGTGTTACAGCACTCGAACCGTCGACGGGAAAATCTTTGTCAAGAAAAATCACGGTGAGAAAGACTAATATAGAATCAACAACGAAGGAGATCTTGAAGGTATTTTGCTTAAAAAAGAAAGCATCTAAGTATTTTGTTTAATTTTGTGATTAATTCAATCTTTTGTGAGTACATTTCAACTTACAGTCTATAGGATAATACGGGCGAAATCGAATTCGTTACAATCCAAGTACAAAGGAGGGGTATTAATGGAGAATCTATATAACTATATTAGATATAAACCCACAGGACATGTACAAATCAAATCCGTCATTAATTTGCTTAAGTGAAAATAAGCTATTTTATATATATATGAGTATGTGTAAATATGAAATAGAAATGATTTTATACATACAGCATTCCGAAATGTTTTGGGGCGTATCTTGAAATGATGATAATGAATTTGGACCGCTTCCATCGATACACCTTTTTCTTGACCACTCTGGAAGTAGATCAACAAGGACCAATCAGGTGCCGTGTAATATAAGCGCGCGTTGCGATTGGTTGTCTAAAAATAGATTATCGGGACATCTGATGGTGACTCAGATTACTAGATTATTAGCGAGATGGACACTACTGGTTATGTACTTCTGGTACGACCTGATGTTGTGAAATAACTGTTCATAGTATAAATGATGTACCAGTGTACTTGAAAACATATAATCGTTGTCTGATTTCTAACTTGTGGATGCCCCAATCATTCCAAAGCTTTGAAAATGCGATAAGTAAGCCTAAAGCGTGCTTTTTCTTCCGGATTGAGACTAATCCTTGTAAGTTCTAAGTTCAGGCCTTTTCACGTCTAGCTTCTTCTTTGAATAAAGCCGTTTTGCCGGTTAGACATGGAGATCAAAAAAGGGGTATTACCATTTTGTTCACATCTCATTTCATCTTCTTCGTTTGGTCCGCAGTCTGGTCTCTCATTGCAAAGTTTAGAGACGTCAATGGAGCTTCCATCGAAGCATGTAAAGTTTAACTGATAAGTAGGGCAAGTACTACCGGTCTCAACTAAACCATCGCTGCAATCGTTTTTAATTCCGTCACAACTTTTATCGTCGTCAACACAGAAGCCATCATTACACTCAAATTGGTACTCTTTACACTGATAGCCTGTGGAATCAAGAACATTATTGTAAGATCCCAGAAGAATATCGCTAACAATTAGTAAAAAAGAGATTAGATGACTGCTAAGTCTTTTTGTTTGAATTGTTTAAAAAAATTAAAGGTATTTTTAAGTAGAATGAAATTAAACAAAACACCAACTTGAAGCTATAATAACTCTGTTTTATTATAGATTTTTCGGCAATTCGGCCTTCCTCAGAAAACTCTACTCTTAGTTTTTTTTTGTTGTTTTTTTGGGGGGGAGGGGGATGGTTTTCCCTGTGTATTGTAAATCGGTTAAGGACATCAGTCTGTACAGTATAGTTTTAGTATGTAAAAATAGTTTTTCTTGTGTTTTTCAGTATTTTATATATTTCATCAACTGTACCTTCGTATTGTAGGAACCATCTGATCGTTTAAATGTATGATCGTATAACCGTCAATTCGTGTAAATGATACAAGTTCGTAAGTTGTAAAGATTGAGAAAAAACGACCATATATACATTAATACAAAACGATGTAAAGGAAACCCACAACGAGGACCCCACAACGAGGAATTGAGAATCTATAGTAAAAAGTCTGAAAGCTTTTTTAAAGAAATAGAGTTAAGCTGTCGACAATTCGACAATGTTCTTTAAAATTGAAGACTTTTTATAAACTTAGCGAAAACTTGAAGGAGCAATACGAGTTATGGATGACTTGTCCGCTAGAGTCCACTGACTTGAATAAACGATGGGTTGCAGGTTTAGAATTCTTGTTGAAGTCTAAAATTAGGTATCCGGAAACTCCTGTTGACATCAGAGTGTTGTACAAGGAGGACCCAGATGCGAAAACATTGTCTGTCTTAATGTAACAGTACAATGAACCATACACCTGATTGATGCAAACGAAGATCTACTACAACGATGGTCAAATCTGATATCGTCTGAAGAAAGCTGTTGTAACTGCAATCCAAGTACCACAGGGAGAGCAACTCGCAAATATCAGTCAAACCTCAACGCAAGGTAACCGAACCAGACTTGATTAAAGCAGAGAAAGCCATCGTTAGAGTGGTACGAAAATTCAACTTTGCGGAAGAGAATGCAACGCTTGAAATACTGGAGGATAAAGAGACCGCGATCGTTCACGAAACTAGAAATGTCGCAACGAGCTAGTCATTCTGTCTAGACCCTTTCTAAGATAGAGATGGTATCCTTGGAGTAGGAGGTAAGACCTTGCAAGTCACAAGACTTCACCTTCAGCTTCAGAAATGTTTACCTAGTGAAATAATCAACAAGATCGATCGTGACCATAAAAGTGAAAACCATAGAAATCAAAGTTTCTACCAGATTGACGTCTGACACTGTGATGCAGGTATATCGAGGGGGTGGTGAACACCGTAAAACGGTCGCAAGGGAGGAAAGAGTTTAAAAACTTGACTGCAGTGAAGAACTGGAACAGATCCTGACCGAAACGATACATTGACAGGACCCGATATGTGGTTTGAGATGAGGAAAATACAACATGATTTTGTAGTAGAGCATCAATTGCACGACTCGTACTCAAAATCCTTTTTCTCTTAATTCAGTCGATATTCGGAACAATCTTGCGCGAAATAAACATTATTTAACTTCGCACAGGGAGAAACAGCTTATCAAATAAAATGTTGTGGGTTTTTTTTGTAAAAATCGAAACATATATTTCCTGTATAGATCAGGCCTGCTGGAGAACCCTATGACATCTTCTAACGCTGTAATAAAGAGTTTGTTACTTAGATTCGCAAAAGAGTTGAAGAAGCACTTAAAATCTGAGCAGAACATCTATTAAGCGCATCTACCATTTGTCACTACGTACCATACAGCGGGACATCAAAGCCATTCTAATGAAGCAGAAGCGCCTTATTACTGACAACCAGAACCTTAAACAGATCTTCCCAGATGCTCCAATTATTTCTTACACCGGAGCAAAAAATCGCTCAAAGACGCTCTACTCACAGCAAAACATTCAATAAAAGACTAGCCATATTTCAAACAAAACGCAGTGGTGAATACCGGCATATGTATAGCGACATGATATCATAATGTCTCTCCCTGTTACTCATTTTTAAAAGAAAAGAACGGGCAAAATTGTTCGACCGAAAATGTGGTAAAAAAAATTGCACCGTTGCATGTCCTCTTTGAGTTTCTTGGGCATTTATGACTTTAAGAGTATGTCAATATGACATACAACGCGTGTGCTATTTGTTAAAACACGTATTGTATTTAGAAGTTGCATGTTTATCTATTCTTCACGAATGTTAGATTTAACATTAGTAAATGTAATGAAGGTTGAATAAGAAATATTCAATATCTTCGAAAAGCACATAAAATATTCATTGAGAGTCATCCTATTTAATCATGTGTTTTTAGGAAGTCTTCTAAAGAAAGATCTGATAAAGCTTCGACGGCACTGCTCACTTACTATCATTTCTGACGATTAAAGATTGAACTCTCCATGTTAGAAACAGAATTCCCAACACTTGTTGATGCATTTCTCTATAAGTAAAACGTTTGGCAACTTCGCTTGTTACATGCTGCTCGCATCGAATGCATTTGAATATGATATGGCGAATACTGGCATATTTGACATTCACGTCGACATGCACTATTTTCACTTATAATTCTTGGCATTTGATTGAAGCTTTTTAAAACAATTAACTTAAAACCAGCTGACTGTGGACTGTTGTTTTCACTGACGCGACTCACTTGCTCATCGTCTTTGCTTTGGTATATACTAACCTATTACGCCCAGCGCCCCCTGCGGAGCATAGGCCGTCAAACAACAAGCTTCCTACATCGAAACCCTTACTTTAGCTTTAACTCAAGCCTTACCCTCAGTCTAAACGTTACCCCTAAATCTCAACTATAACCCTATTACAGCAACCATAAGCCTAACCTTGAGTTAGTAGAACAAAACGTGACAAACAAGGGTTCACGGTCAATTAATTTCGATTTCAAAGTGTCTCATCCAGCTGTTTCCAGGAGTACATATAATAGTGAAAATTTATTCGACGTTTCGGTCTGTTAACGTAGAACTTCATCACCGCTGAAAGACATTTTACTTAATTTAACTTGGTGCGCACAGTAGACGTTGATTAGGCTCGTGTCTTCTGTCTGTATAATGAATTGTTTAATCAAGAACTTTTGACGAGTTTGAGAAGAAAAAAAATGGAATTAAAATCATATGAACTAGAAAATAATTATGGCTAAAGAAAGCATCATTGGAAAACATCGCGCACCATAAAGGTTGTAAATTTTATGGAAATATGTTGTAAGTGTCCAAAATGATGTAAATTTGATGGAAATCATTTACATCAAATTTACATCATTTTGGACACTTACATCATATATACATCAAATTTACAACCTTTATAGCGCGCGATTTTTTCCAGTGCATGACTCAGTGGTTTGTTGATTATTTTTTTGAGCTGAGGCATAAAATCAATTATAAATATGCACCGCAGTACTCTTCATTTCGTCACCTCGATGGTCCAAAAAGAATATCATTCGTTTTTTTTTTTCTTTTGTTTTGTTTCATTTGTGCCCATCTAACTAATAGTTGGCATTTTTGTATTTTTGGAAACAGCTGTCAAATGAATTGGATCTTGAACAACATCAAACTTGATTTTTTTCAAGACCTTTAGTGCAAAAATGTAAAACGCCAAGGTACTGAAAAATAATAATGTGTTCCTAAAAACACAAAGTATCACCTATGTATTTACGAGAATTTTACAGTATTCAAAGTTGTGATTACAGAAAACGTCGCTCATGTCATGTGTTGCTCTTAAATGAACACAAAACACTGTCTTTCGCACGTTAGAAAATTAAATGTGGAGTGTCATATTAAACAATTCCGCTCGTCGTTTTCCTTTTTCCTTTTAGGAAACTATTAAAAGACTTTAGTAGCTTTCACTGATATACAAGCAAATGTACTTTACATAAATAGTAACCAGCTAAAGAACTATTTAAAGACTTTACACAGCAAATGGACTAGAATTGTCTGCGACTTTCATTGGAGACAGAATAACAGCTGTGCTTCTAATAGTATAACATATTCATAACATTGAACCCTAATACCATTTTCATGAGTTCAAAGCTACCGGCTGTTTTATTTGACAAGAGATTCTCCTGCGCAAGACCTCATTGATGACAAGCTTGACAGAAGAGAACACCAAACAATGTACACTTTAGAAAGAGAAAAGCTATTTAATAAATAAAGAAATGAATAAAGAAAGAAACAAAGAAATAAAAAAATATTTTAAATTTGCAGCTATAGGATGTTGCATGATAAGAAAATTGAGTCGTCTCTAGCTTGAAAAATAAAAGAAGATCGCAGTTGCGATCGAAACGTCTGCATTAAATTTTATTTTTCAAGCTTGAGACGACTCAATTTTCTTATCAAATAAAAAATACTTGAATTGTTTGTAGGAATAATCAATATCGTGCATAAAAGAGAATTTTTAGAGCACATTGAAGCTAAACTAACTATTCTTGAAGATTCAAACTTGGGTGCGCTGTGCTTCCGTTAGGAGGGGCAAGCTTGAAGCTCTACAATCTTCTGCAGATTTCAATAAAAATACAGTGAACGACTTTTGATGCGACTTAAAAGATCGACATTCACATCTGGTTAGTTACGATGTCAATGCAGTGACGTCAATCATTAACACTAAATTAACAAGTGGATTTTAAAGTTTGTCAAAAAGTGCGTCAGTTTGAAATAAAGGAATAAATTAGTTTTTGAGTTGATCCAACTGAATCATTGAAGAAATTGATAAATTACTCATTACTTGACTTTAAGGCAGCCAAATTGATCATTCCTCCTGTATATTGTGCAAATTGCTGCTCGTTATTGCAGGTGTGGACGATTGGAGTATTTCTACGAAAAATTGACTTTACGCGAATAAACAAACTTTTAAAGGCATTGCGATAATTTTCACTAAAGATAAAGTAGACTGCCAAGTTAAATAATCCGTTGAGTTGAGCAAACGAGTATGTGATGGAGGCTATTATATGAATAACTATAACATCGAGGTTTTTGTCTTTAGGAATGGCATAATGAATGACATTTAGTGGCGACCATGTCACAGTGAAAGCCAATACAACGCACAGAATCATGTAGGTGACTTTCCTTGACGTCCTGTCAGCAGTGTGTTGTCCAGCTTCTCCTGGGACTTTTCTGGTGCATAACTTGTATCCGACAGCAATACTGAGTGCGATGACGGTAACAAGAACCACAAGGAAGCTGAAAATCATGGCCGATAAGAGATGATCCACCTTCTTGGGTAGGCAGTATGTTACACCATTTGGTAAAATAGGTAAGCACGTCACAGAGAAAATAAATGAAGATGATAAGCCAAGGGACAGTAGCCATGTCAGGATTATGAGATATTTGCTTGATGGAAGATAGGTTTTGTACTTGAGAGGACGAAGCACGGCCATCAATCGATCAAATGTTATCAACACCAGACTAAAAACTGAGCAAGCACCCCCAACAAACACGATCAACTGATGAGCGACGCAAGTTATTTGACCAAACAGACCTGGAAACCAGGCAAATAAATTGAAATTGTATTTTACGATGTAAGGACCAAATCCCAGATTTATTATAAGATCTGCGCATGCCATGTTGACAATAAAGTAGTTGGTTCTTGTGTGCATGTGTCTGTTGACACGAACACTGTGGATGATGATGGTGTTGCTGGCGATTGAGGGCAGGCTGACAGTCACTGCCGTCACAATGAGACCTGCTTTAGAAGAAACGTCTACTTCCTTGGACCATCTTACAAAGACTTTGAAAAGAAAAGATATTTGAAAATTTCGGAAGTGGTTTCTGATTTCAGGTAAAAAGGTCGATATTCATACATTTGCACATTTCCAAATTTGAAATATTGTATATGCAAACAACCTATTACCACTTATCTCTAATCAATGAAATACTATTCACCAACCCTGCTTATTCTTTATGCAGTAATTTTAGGTTGCTTCGAGAATTCAATATTTTCAATCAAAACGCAGGGGTTGATTTAGCTAAATCTAATAAATGAACTATGCAACGCAATAAGAATGTTAATTTTTGTCATTTTACAAATGGGTCCTGTTCATTTTGACAACAGACATTATTCATGCATGGGGAGTGAGAGTAGGCTCGGAAACTGTATTTTGTATTTTTTTATTTTCCTAATTGATTGAGTGCAACGTTTTTTATACAATAAAATATAAGAGATGATATACCTTCGGTAAAGGTAAAACTTATCCTTTTTCCCACTACTCACCTTCATAAAGAGCGGTAACATTATTCTCACCTGCACATGAAGGACTGCCTGAAAACCATTGAAGTAAAAAGAAATTAGCGACGATAAGCTTTCAATCTAAAAATATCAAAGCAGAACGTATGAATGCTAATGATGAAATGATGAATGATATCTGCGTAAACCTATACATTGTAACGAACTGTATATTTAGAAGATATTTCCATGAGGGCTAAGCTTTAGATTACCCTGTCATTTTATAAATATCAAAACTCACTGCCACCGCGTTCAAATAGTGCCTGCAATGATTTCTGGTCCAAACATATACCATAGGAATCCCATTTAAAGTTAACCTCTTAGTATCAAAATTAACTGCCACCGCGGTCCGCGGTCAC